AATGTTTGTATTCATTGTGGGAAAAATGATCATATCGTGGACACTTATTACAAAAAGCACAGGTACCCACGAGATCATAGATTCAACTCAACCAAAACTCCTCAAGCCAATCTCATTATTGTCCAGATGATGTTAGTATTAATAAAGATTAAAAGATCAATGAATCTGAATTTATACATTTAATTAGACAACAATATCAAATTTTATAAAAAAAATCCTTCACTGATCAAGCCCAAGTGAATTTGATAGATTCCAACCATACGATCCATTCTTCAACAGGTATAATTAATTCCATTACATCTTTTAAAATTATTCGATCAAAATGGCTCTTAGACTCAGGGACAATGGATCATATAAGAATATTTTTACATAATTTTTTAACTTACAAGAAAATTGATCCCATTTGCGTAAATCTCCCCAATGGACAAACTGTTATAGTAAAACTTTCAAGAGAGATCAAGCTCACTAATAACATCAGTCTTACTAATGTGCTTTATGTCCCACTTTTCAATTTTAATTTAATATTTGTCTCCAAGCTCACAACCACACATGGATGTAATTTCATGTTTACTCATGATAGATGTGTCATACAAGATCACCAAATCAAAGAGATGATTGGTATAATTAGAATACACATAGGTATTTATGTTCTGGATCTCCCTTTAAAAACCACCATAGTAAACACATTAGTACTACCAGTAGCACTTCCAACGACATCAATATCTAACACGCTAGGTTCGACCACCCTTCCAATATTAGAATGAAAATCTTAAGAAACAAGCATAATTGTATTCCAAACAAACAAATGATGATATGTGATACATGTCATAAGAAAAAACAGAAGCGTCTCCCCTTTCCCATTAATTCTGAATCTTATTCTGCTTCACATAGATTAGAGATTCTTCACATGGATTTGGGGACCTTGTAATATTGTTTTTATACGTGGTTTATGATATTTGGAGACCTTGTATTGTATTGTAGATGATTATACTCGTTTTACATGGATTCTACCTATGATCAATAAATCTAATACCAGGGACAAGATTATTCAATTTATCATTCAAAAAGAAAAACATTTTGATACCTCTGTCAAAATTATTCGCACTGATAATGGACCAGAATTCAACATACATAATTACTTTACATAAAAAGGCATTATTCATCAGACTACATGCATTGAAACACTATAATAGAATGACATTGTTGAGAGAAAATATCAACATCTATTAAATATTAGTTGATCATGGCTCATCCAAGCCACACTTCCAAAAGCTTTTTTGTGATTAGTTGTCCAACATGTCATCAACTACATTCCAACACCTATTCTCGATAGCAATTCACCTTATGAAGAATTTCATGGAACCCTATACAACATAACCAGCTTACACATTTTTGGGTGCCTCTGTTATCCGAATACTCCAAGTGTCCAAAGAAAGAAACTTGATAGCAGGGTTGCTCCAGGCGTCTTCCTTGGTTACAAACCACGCACAAAAGAATTTTATTTTTTAAAATCTTCACAATCACGCTATCACTATTACCCGCGACATCAAATTTTATGAAAAAGTCGTTCCTTATAAATCTCAATCACAAAATGATCATGATTCTATTAGTTTATCACTATGTGTGCTTGACAATTATACTTTCACTGACACTAATCTATTTTATACTAATGTCTTTGCATCACATCCTAACACTAATGATAACAAGATTACAAATCACCTAGAGACTCTTACTATACATTACCAACCAAACTCTAGAAAATATCAATCTATTCCAACTTTGACGCTCATCTAGAAACAAGAAAATGAGGTCTTATTTTCAAGATTTCCATCTAACATCTTCTCATAATAAACTTACCAAATATCCTATCAATAAATATGTATCATACACCAATATCTCTCCTAACCATGAATCTCATAACTACGCAGAAGCATCCAAATCCATTCAATGAATCAAAGCTATGAAAGAAGAACTTACTACACTTAACAACAACAATACATAGATCATTACCAACCTTCATCCTAGAAAGACTGGAATCGATTTTTTATGGGTATAAAGAATCAAATACAATTCATATGGCACTATAGAACGTTATAAAGCTCGTTTGGTAACAAAGGATTTCAATCAGCTTGAAGGGTGGGATACTTTGATACCTTTACTTCCGTCGTCAAACTTACCATCATTTGTGTCCTTCTTGCACTCGCTACATTTGAAAATTGTATCATAAAATCAACTGGATGTGAACAAACACTTCTTTACATAGAGATCTCAACGAAGATGTTTACATGGAACCTCCTCCTAGGTCAGACATTGAAGATCAATAGGTTTGTAAACTTGAAATATCCCTATATAGTCTCAAACAGTCAATAAGACAATGGTATAAAAAACTATCTTAATTCCTTCTCACAAATCAGTTCAAATGCTCCACTGTATGACCATTCTCTTTTCATAAATCATGAACAAGATCATATCACCATCATCCTTGTTTATGTTAACAATGTTATCATCACTAGTAGCAACAACAAAAAGATTCAGCTTTGCTTTACTCTATTTTCTGTATCAAGAATCTTGGAAACCTAACATTCTTTCATGACTAGTACTCAAAATATATATATATATATATATATATATATATATATATATATATATATAATGCTTTTAAATCTAATATATAGAATGACTTACAAATAGAATAGTCATCGAATCCTTTCATGACAAAATGTAATAAGCAAACATAATATTTCTCACTTAACTTTATATATATTTTTTATATGTTTCTTTCTTCCTATTACAAATATAATTTAACTAAATAATGTATTTAATAATAATAATAATAATTTTATTTATTATTGATAATTTAATTATTTATTATTTTAATAATTTATCTAGTTTGATGGATTAATTTTTGCCTAATTAAAAATGTTAAAATAATAATAATATATCTATGTAAAAATAATTAATTCAACAAATAAAAAATATTTTTAAATAAAAATTAAAAATAAGAATATAATTTTTAAATTTAAGTTATAATAATAAAATTAATTTTATTTTATATATATTTATTTAATATATAAATTACAAGATGAGATTCATTTATTAAAAAAAATTAAATACTTACTATTAAATATCATTATTTACATTTCAGTAATGTAATGGTTTAAATAATTCATTTTAATTATTTGATCATCAAATAAAGTGAGTATTAAAGACTTATTATCATTACTCTTAAAATAAAAAATTCTTATAAAATTAATTTATAATACAAATATTTTAATAAAATAATATTATTTTTTATTATTAAAAAATATTAGTTTATAAAATAAATTGTAAGTAACGTGATATAAGTTGAGTTAGATCAAAATTGAGCTAGTTAATTTAAATCACTTATGTCTTTAATCTTTTAAACTAACCTATCCTATTAAGTATATTTTAAAATTTCTAATTATTATTATTATTATTAATCACTTCTTAGCAATAAAGTTTTTCTTGTTTTTTCTTTTTCTTAAATCCATTGAAAAAAATGGTGAAAAACAGATATTCTTTCTCTTTTATCCTTTCTACCCGAAATAAATAAAACAAAAATAAAATAATTTCATTTTCATTCACTTCTCCTTACTTCTTTTATTTTCTACCTTTAAATCAAACATAAAAATAAGTCCACCAAAATCCAAATTTATATTTATACCCAATATCATGTTAACCTATAACTCAAAGTGCACGATTTTGCAATAAAACGGAAAACTTTATGCAATAACTTTTTATTATGTGATACTAAACCACAAATTAAAAAAATATAAATTAGTTTATCTAAGGTGATATTAAACCACAAATTACACTCAACTTTATGCAATAACTTTTTATTATGTGAATTATTATTTAAATTTCATGAGTTCATCCTTCCAAAGACAGCTTGAAGGAAAAAAAATAAATCCAATTCAGCATGTAACAAATATTTCCATATTTGTTTATTAGTCATGCAATGTGAATCAAGGGTGTGTTTGAAACATCATTCCATTATGTTCAACGGCAATCCTTCATGAGAGAAAATTTTACTTCGATTGAACTTTGGAATACTGTTCTACCTACAAATCAGTCACAGATAAAAATGACACCATGATATACTTTCCACATAACAAATTTGTGCCATTTTTTAAAATATTTATACTCCCTTATAGAAACTGTAAGTATAATATATATATATATATATATATATATATATATATATATATATTTTTTTTTAAAAGGTGCATGTGTAGTGTAAAACGAAATATTAGTGTAATATTTTAAAAGAAAAAATATATATGTTTTTTAAATAGAGGTATAACTGTAATTTGAAAAAAAAAATTGTAAAATAATTATACTCAATTATTAATTTGAGATGGTTTTTGGTGAGGCCATTATCAATGGCCATTGCCATGTTTGGTGTGGCGGATGGCTTGGGCCATTTTGGTTTCCATGGACCATGTTCCAGAATTCAGATCCACCCCAACTTTCTAATATTTAAAACTTAAATTGCTCCATTGAATTAAGAAAAATACATTTTTAACAAATTTTCAGTTATAAATTCAATTTGATTGAAAAGAGAACATTAGGTAACTTGTGAATTTGATGAAGTAGCTTATAGCATGATTGTGGTGTGAAGATTCAGTAGTCACACACAAGCAATGAAACAGGACGTTGTGATATGTACCAGGAGAAATAGCATAGCAGAATACTGAATACACAATCTAAAAAAAACCCGTGATGGTTGTGCAGATTGAGGTAACCAAATCAAGCAAACATGCCACGTGACATATAAATTATGTTGTTTGTTAACAGCATCATAGAAGTTTCTCAAGTCTCGTTGCCCATAAAATCAAGGCACATCTTTTCCGTGCGGGCCAAGTATAATAATAAGATACTAACACGTATACTGAATCCACCAAGAATAAAATTAGCAGCTTGTGACTATGGATTAACTTGGTAGCATTAATTAATGTAAAAGCCACGACCAACCTGTATCAGGGAGAAGAGGAACGTGAGTTTGTGTGCTTAGACAAAGTTGCAGACAGAGTAGCACACACAAGAGGTTTTGGAGCAGGGATTCTAAGACAATTGAGACTACCACCAGGGATCACAGAACACTCTGGTTGTGGTCTCTGCATGTTCCGGCCAGGGATACAGTTATCAGAGAAATCAAACCCCACATTGAATAGCCTTGAACATTCCTGGCTCAGCCCTGAGAAGAAATTGTAAGCAACTGTTAGATTTAGTAGGCTTCTCAAAGAGCACACCACATCTGATAACTCCCCTGAGAGCTTGTTATGTGCCAAATTGAGAACCTCTATATCCTGCAAGCAACTCATTGTGTCAGGCAAATGGCCCATAAGAGAGTTGAAGCTCACATCCAACACTTGCATCTCAGTGAAGATCCCTACTCCTTGGGGAATGCAACCTGTTAACTGGTTGTTAAGGAAGAGAATCTCCTTTAGTCTTGAACTCATGAAGCCAAAGCTAAAAGGGATGCTTCCACTCAACTTGTTGTTGGCCAAGTTGATCACCGAGGCAGGTGAATTTCCCAGATTCTCTGGAATTTCACCTTCAAAATTGTTGTTGTTGAGGAATATTGCATCGAGTTTCTTGTTGAAGAGATCATCTGGAATTTGCCCTGAGAAGTTGTTGTATCTGAGGTCCAAGTAGATGAGGCTTGGCATGGATAGAGTGGCCATGGGAAAAGGGCCTGAGAGTTGGTTGTTGCTGAGGTCCAACTCTTGGAGGGAAGTGAGGTCTCTGAATGTGTCTGGAACTGAGCCAGAAAACCTGTTACTGTTGAGATGGAAAAGAGTGATATCAGAGAGCAAAGAGAGCTCTTTGACAAGAGTCCCTTGGAGATTTGCATGGTTGAGATCTATTCCGGCAACAACAGAAGACTCAGTTGCTGCTGTTGTGGCAATTCCATTGTCATCCCGAGAATTAGAACAGAAGACACCTTTGTAGGAACACACATCGGGACCAACCCAAGTGTCCAAAATCTTCGAAGGGTCATCAATGATTGCAGATTTCAATGCCTGGAGGGCTGTAAAAGCATTGTTGAGGTTTGGCACTGAGGATCCAGAGGGTCCTGGGGTGTTACCACCACTGCCCCCATTGCCAATACCAATGCCAACACTTATGCCACCTCTTCCACCAACACCCACACTAATGGCCCCTTCTGCTGCATTTGAACGGAGCAGGAGGAGGAGAAGGTGAAAGGTGAGGATCCAGGTATTCTCCATTTGGAGCTGAAGATACCAAGATGATTCTTTGATGGAAGGGTCTTTAGCTTCTCTTAATAAAGTTGCTACATTCAAGGGAGAGAGGGTTGTATACTAATGGGCTCTTCACTTACCATTTTCTTTTGGAATGACTCAAAACTCACTTAAATTCTTACTTCCGTTTAGTTACTTTACTTATTTTATTACACAGTGTCTCTTTTTTACTCTTCTTTCTCTTGTCTCTCTGTGGTGTGAAAAGTGGTGCTAAAATTCTTGATGTTTAGATTATAACATTCGTTTGAGCTTAGCTTTGAATAAGCAAGCACCCATGATGTTGACTTCTGTTGGATTAATATTTTCCTATAAAAATAAAATTAGAACAAATCACGTGGTAAGCCCTTCAATACATTTTGATTGCACTTGTTTTTAATTATCATCGCGAAATAAAACCTGAAACTGTGAGTTGTTGTTTTTTATGCGAGTCGATAAGTTTAACAATGTATTATCAGTTTTTTTCTTCAACATATATTAACATTTTAAAACTTTCTTAAATTAATATTACGGTGTCTAACACTTCCAAGAACAAGGTGATGATTTATCCAAACTATTATCAACAATAAACATTTTCCTTATTTATTCAAACTTAAGACATCTGATTAAATTAGAAGAACTCATCCTTTGATGCAAATTTTAATATGACCAAACATAAAATAAAAATATATCTATTATTTTAAGAAACAAATAGAGTGTACTGCATATGTTAAGTTAACTACTAGCATACAAATTTAATGAAAAGCTGGTATATTGCGCAGACATAACCATTAACATATTGTTAGGGCTACGCTTTCCATTTAAATTAAAGATGGAGATAGCCATAAAGATTAAGAACTTTTAGTTAATGAAACAAATATAACAGGCTGTGTTTGGTTGTACAGTAGACAGTACATTTTTGGTTCCTGTCATCAGTCATCAAAAGAGAGGCAAACTTAAAGTTGATAAACATTAAAGCAGAGTATAAACATAAACACTGGTCGCAATGTATCTCCCCCATTTTGTAGCACAGTTTAATGAGTAAGTTTTACTATTAATTAATGAGTCAAATTTATTCTCCTCTTCAAATTTTTGACTTAATTACATGTTTTATTATTACTTGTGTATGACGTATTTTAAACAAATGAAGAAATTAGTTATTTAAGGGTAAACAGAAGACAGTTTACCAAGTGGAAAATTGGTCAAAATTTGATAAACTTGAAAAGAACATTATGAAACAAGGGCGAATCATCTATCTAACCAAATCAACACCATCATGATTGTTCATTAATCTGTTTCTTCACACTTGACTTGGTTGAACTTGAAAGAGACGCCAAGACTAGAGTCCACTTTGATTATTTGAACAAGACAACAACTTCTTCTCTAGGACCCTATGACAAAATTAGTAACATCACATAGGTTTGGTTAAGTTAGTTCACATCAAGAGGTCGAATCCTTCAGATTTCCACAATCAATTAGGACGAAAAGCAAAGAAAATAGAAAAAACAGAAACATCTGTCATTGTAGTTGTAGCAGCAGGTCTGGTAGAGGGAATTGAAGTTGCGATAAATGGTTGCCAGATGGTAGCTACCAGCCAACGGTCGTGAAAAGTTCTCTTAATTTCTAGCTCTTAACTTTCCAATCATAATGTGTTCTTCTTTAAAAACATGCTCATCATGCAATCAAAACTTAGAAAAGGAAAAGTCTTAAAATACTCGAAATAATTCTACTAACGCGTGTTCTTTTAAACATCGTCAACCACATGTTACAAAACTAATAATTACTGTGGTGACAAAATTGGGGCACGGTTTATTGCTTCCTAGCAACTTGGGTTGATTCAAAGTGGAGTATACAGCGTTCTTATTTCAAATAATGTTGTGTTTGAAGCAGAGTTTTTGTTGAAATCTATATTGGGCTGAAAAATGCACAGTTCAACAAAAGTTAGTGGGATGCGCAGTTCAATCCCCTTGCCTAAATAATGGGAGAACAGTCCACAGATCAATGATTAGAAAAAGTGATATCGCATATTAATTACTCCATTAGAATCAAATGACATGATCAAGGTTGGAACATGGTGACAATATGACCCAGGTGTGAAAAGGAGCAAAGAAGAGCGCACACCATTTTGAAGAGTAATGGAACAGCTAGTTTCCAAGTTCTACGGTTGGTCATGGACTATTATTCCACTTCACAGAAAGAGAAAAGGAAAAGAAATAAAAGTAGATTGAAAAAGAGGAAGATTCCTCTTCCCAATTCTCCATCCACTCCACTGCATAAAAGGAGGTTTGAGTAAGTAGTTGCGTTTTCAAAACGTAGCCACCAAGGTTATCGCTCCAGTACATTACATAGCATTACATTTTATAACGATTCTGCCACCTACCAACCCATCCCGCAAAAATCGTCGGAGGTAGGACGAGTCTAATGCATGTTCTTAAGTTAGGTATTCATCCCCTTAAATAATTCTAAACCTTACTTGAAGGAATTAAACAAATGAGAAACTGAAAGTGACACGACGCCAAAAATAACATTAAACTTGGCCAAACCCTCGAGCGTTGTTTATTGCAAACAAATGACCGTAAGTAACATAAGAATATTTGGCCTCATGTTCTCTCTGCTTTTAAGCTCTCACTCTAGCCAAAGACAAACTTCCATGTGGTGTGGTCGCATTCTGGGATCATTGTAACGTGGTTTATGTGGGTGTGATTAGACAAAAGTGTAGTACTTTCCTTGACATAAGGTCATAATTTTAAGTAGAGATTAATATCATAAACACTTAAAAGAAAAAAGAAAAAGAAAAATTGTGTGGGGGTTGGTCCCATCTTAAATCCATGGGAAGGATTTGTTGGGTTAGTTGGTTTGGTTTCATAAATGCTGTTTTGCTTAGCCTTTACGTTTACTCCCTCATCTCTCTCTTTATCTCATCAGAATATTGGTGCCCAGCACTTATATGATTGTAGGATAAGGACGTGCAGGGAAATGGAAGACAAATCTGTGTAACCTTTTGATTCAAAAGAAATTTTTGGTTCTTGTTTTTCTTCCTTCCTGCGGTGTAGGGAATGAGAAAGTTATAACCTTTTATGCTGAAATTATTTTTACTACCTAGCTAGTATATTTTTCTTTAATATAGTAATTCATAATTATGATGTAATGATGTTTATCGTTAGAGTAAGGGGCGGATCTTCTTCGGAGCCGAGGGGGATGTGGCCCCCAAAGTTTTGTAACTCCCATGTAATTTATGATTTTGGTCCCCAAACTTAATTAACATTTAATATATTTACTTGTATATTTACAATTTTATCCTTTCAGTCCCTCTTCAGTTTTATAACTCTTATATAATTTATGATTTTGTCTCTCTCTAACTTGATGATCATTTAATATATTTAAGTATATATTTACAATTTTATCATTTTACCCTTTTATCTTCTTTCTTCCTTTTATGTTTATTAATAATATATTATTTGGCCCCCAAGATCAATGGTGCCACTAGTTAGAGTAGTTAATCTAATTAACTGTATTTACTTATAAGTAGTGTTTTTATGGTATTCTATAAATATCAATTGCAATTTATGGATGAATATTGTCTTTACGTTATTCTATAAATACCATACATTTACTAAGTAAATAAAAAAGTACATGGTCTCAGTGTTTCTCTATTATTATTCTAACCATACATTTTTGTTAACATATATCAAAAGCTTTAAGATTTAGGAAGAAGAATGAATATAACAGAAATTTAGTTACAAGTTAGTGCATGATAGTAAGAATCTAAATTGGTATAACAGTTGGAGTGTGAAGACGAAAAATCATTTTTTTTTATTTTCAATAAGTCTTAGATGTAATTCTGAATGGATACGAGAGACCATCGAGAATTCCACCGAGACATAACATGCAACGTTTCGTGAGACGAAGAAACATAATTGTAAAGTTATGAAAGCAACTTTGAGAAGATATTGTTGGCAAACTCGACGAAAGAAACCTAAAATAAACTTATGCAATCTACCCATGCGTTGAGAGATTGAAGTGGTGCGACTTCAAACCTTGTATCAGTTGTTACAGACGAGGACGCAAGAAACCATCCAAGAATAATTTGTAATTATTGTCAATCACAAACCTGATGAAGTCATGTGGTAAAAGTTTGAAGGAACGAGTGGTGATGGAGAAGGTGTTGAGAACTCTTTATGCTAGGTTTGATAATTTTTGTAGCTATTGAAAAGTCCAAAAACCTCGATTTGTTGAAATTAGATGAACTATAAGGGTCATTGGAGGCTCACGAATAACGGTCACATGAGAGGAAAAAAGAGAAGTCAAATGTAGAACATGAGTGGTTGACGAAACAAAACCAGGAAAATAAAAAAAATAAGGAAAAAAAAAAAGAAGTCGATGAAGAGGTAGAAAAAAATGGTGGATGAGGCTCAAAAAGACTACAGGAGAGTTCTTCACCATCAAAAGGTGGTAGAGGCAGAAACTCATAGTGGAGAAGTGGTCGATATGATTTTGGTGCTAGTAAAAAGAATGTACAGTGTTGACTATTGGAACAAAGAATAAAAAGCAAATGTTGCACAGAAAAAACACTCAGAATGGTGAAGTGTTGTTAATGGTGACTCATAATAGCATTTTGGTTGCACAAAATACTCATCAAATAACAATAAATAAGTTGTTAAACTAATACAGTACAACTAACCGTATCGAATCTCACAATCACACAATTATAAGAACGTACCCATTACCACACATTATTCTCTCTAAAAACTGCAAATAACAATAAATAAGAGGATTGATGAAAGAGTATAAAAATTTTTTGATGGAGAATAATAAAAATTAAAAATTAAATTACAATAGAATAATAATGATAATTAAAATTAAATTAAAGCAAAATTTAAATAACTAAAATTTATAAAATTAAAACAAAGTTCTTCTAATTAAATTTAAAAATTGCCAAAATAAAATACAAAATCAAAAATTGTTTTAAAATAAAAGACTGTAGTAACTAA